ATATATATATATATATATATATATATATATAAGTGTGTGTGTGTGTGTGTGCGCGCGTGTAATATTGAGAATACATTAGAATTTATTTTTAGAAAATGTTTATTCTGTACAGAAAAATCTAAATTCAAAACTATCAAGCTTCTTCGATGGAAACGAAATATTATTTAATTCTAGTAAATATTCTTCTACATTACATCCTTACACATTCCTTTTTTAAATTACTTCCTTACATTCTGCAGTTCGCTTACAAATTAAAGTATTACTGTATTCAAGTGAGTGTTTATCACAAGCTATGAAAATATACTTAAGTTGGTGAAAATATTACTCGATTTATTAAGTCTGGAGAACAAAACAGAATTTAAAAAGCTGAAGAAGGTAATTACGTTTACCTGATTCTAGCACTTTTTTTCTGTGCACGTGCATGCAGATGATCGACATAACGCGGGTTACGATATTACCTGCATGAATCCAGCGCAGGCGGCCGCGCCACATTTGTCCCTCGACATCCCAGACATGACGCCGTCGTATTTGATGTCGGCACCACCGGTGTCGTAAGTGACGCCCTTGCCCACCAGCATGATCGTCTCCAGGACGCAGGACGTGGGTGGCTCGTAAGTCAGGAATATTATCCTGCCCGCGTGGCGTGCTATCACCGAGGCGGCGCGATTCACACAGGCGAACAGCGGATACTCCTGCAGCAGAGTCTCCTGATCGGATATCACTTGCATCGTAACGCTCGAACCGTAAAACAGATCCGCCAGGTACTCCTCCACCCTCGGGGGTGCCATTCTCTCGGGGTCGGCGCCACCTAGTTTAATACGGGGTGAGTGCGATGTTAAATATTAATGCATGCCAATAGCTGTAGCAGAGGGAGCGGGAGAAGGAGATGGAGGATGTATGAGGGAGGACGTGTGTCCCGAATCTGCGACAACGCATCCTTTCTATAACGGATCGAACCTATTTTGCTATCCCAAATTCTATCGTGTTGTTGAATTAAAGATTTCACCATAGAGTCAAAATTTCGACTTCTCTCTTACTTCGCGATTGCATTATCCCATTTTGCGAAGTTTATTCGACGCACACAGAGGAGCATGCGATGTATATTCCGTCCTAATTGCTATTTTATTTCCAATGACATCGTCCCTCTCGCGACGATTAATTATTCCCGCGACGTTTACATTTCGCATAATTCGGCCCGCTTAACGCGCGCTCTCGACCGCAGGTGAACTTCGCGACTTCGTAACTTCGAGTTACGCGCGTCGAAACACGAGACGCTGAATTTCTCCGTGACTCACGAGGAGACCAATGCGCGTTCCGTCCAATTATTCTCACACCAAACCGAAGAAGAAATACACGATATATTTTTCCACCAGCTGCAGTTATTTTTAGCACTTGGCAAACTCGCCGTGGAACGATCCCGTCTGTTATTTAATTTTCTGCCTTTTGTTGCCACTGTTTCGCCGGAAAGCGTAACGCGTAAATATCGATAAATAAAGGAAAACAAATGCCCGGAGCATCTCGATACGACAATAATCTCTAATGAACGAACTTCAATGCGCCACTGCCGAGTGCATTAGCAATAACGATCTGGATAGACAGATGTACGTAAATTTAACAACAACTCTATCAGTCGACGTGAAAAGGTTGTATCTTTTATGAATGGTTCATATGTATGTGCCTCTGTGTGTGTGTGTGTGTGTGTGTGTGTGTGTGTGTGTGTGTGTGTGTGTGTGTGTGTGTGTGTGTGTGTGTGTGTGTGTGTGTGTGTGTGTGTGTGTGTGTGTGTGTGTGTGTGTGTGTGTGTGTGTGTGTGTGTGTGTGTGTGTGTGTGTGTGTGTGTGTGTGTGTGTGTGTGTGTGTGTGTNTGTGTGTGTGTGTGTGTGTGTGTGTGTGTGTGTGTGTGTGTGTGTGTATGGTATTTATATCTCTTGAATAGAATGACGAAATAGAAATACGAAAGAAATATATAGAAGGAAATAATTAAAATTCGTTCAAAACAATTATTTTCCGTTAAGAGAGAACAAATAAGTTAGTAAATAAATAAATAAATATGTCATGTAAAATGTAATGTAATACGAAAATCTGAGAATAATTTTTAGTAAATTTGTTGCTGCATCAATATAACAAAAAATATATATTATCGTATGACATAAATGTAACGATTAATTCAATAAGGTTATTTTTATACACAGAGAAAACGTTTCTTTGGATTTGGCGTATTTGTTTGTTTGACTTGGGTTTATTTAATATAAATAATATAATTTAATATCAAATATTATTTTGTTTGTATGAAATGTTTGAATGTTGTTCCATTAAAATAAAACATGTTGTTTGGTGGGAAAACAGTATTATTTAATGCAGGGTTTCCCAAATCTGTGTGAATCGCGACCTACTTTCTCGAACGGCAAAGATCCGCAATCTAGCTTTGATGAATAAAAGCGGGAAGGGAAGGTGAATAAATTGATTATTTATTTATATCACTTTTTGTTACGTTAGAACGTTATGAATATGCGTAACTGTATCTGGCTTGAGTTTGTAAAACTGCACGAAACAATGAAGTGTAATTTAATATTCTCAAATTTTTCGCGACCCACCAAAAATCGGCTCGCGATCCATACTTTAGGAATCTCTGATGCAAAGGAAATAATATTTCGTTTTCAATAAAAAAGTTTATTTCATTATATATAATATAATATTGTTTTACTGAAAAAAAATGTTCTTTGATATTTTTTACAAATAGTATTATTTCTTTCAAATAATTTACTCGTGACAGCCACATTGTAATGTTTAGATCGAAAAATCTGGTTGAAGATACAAGAGAAATATGTTAATTGATATAAAGATATTTATTGTTTGAAAAACCAAATAATCCTGTTTGTTGAATCAAATATACGTTGTTTTTGCTCGACATTGCAAACAAATTTGTTTTTTAATTAAAGAAATATCATGGAAACAAAGAATTAGTTCTCACGGCTAAAAACTAGCTCTATAGATGAAGATTAGCTATCCATATAATACAATTAAAATTTAGTTCATTTAATAAACTTTTTGTCTCCTGGTTACCTGGTTATTAGTTCCCACAGCTAAAAACTAGGTCTGGTAATTAAATTTCAGTTGTATCATATGGACATCTAATTCCCTCTTTCCGTGATGAAATCCAAAGAAATCTTTTCCTCCGTGCATATTTGCTACATAAACGTCAAAAAGTTTCCATCAACGATTGTCTCACGTCGCGATCGTGAAAGTATATTTGGGGGAAAGTCGAAATAAGCGAAAGCAACGTTCCACACGGAGAATAAAGCGACAATGGCCGAATTAAAGAGACAATGAGCGAACCGAACGCGCTGTGGTTGAGGGAAACTGAATTTCCGATTGTAAAAGCCGAATTTGGTTTACGCGAAAGGACCGGGAATTCTGTTTACCTCTGCCGAAACGTCTTTGGTACGTTCGTTGTCATTCGGCCGATCTTTTTCTCTCGCGCACGTTCCTCGAATTAACCGAAACCGCGAGAGCGTCGAGAAAACGGTCCCGCGTGACCGTGAATCCGGCCGGCCGTTTGAAAAATCCGCCCCGTCTCGTCATTCGTCCTTCGCTCGCACTCGCGAATGATTTAAACTCGGCGTGGCCCGCGGCCAACGGCCGGGTCATCAAGGTTTACTTTACGAAATTGCATTACATCCCCTCTGCCCTCGTTTCGCCAGAAGAGAAACAGAGAGCGAGAGAGGGAACATACGGTCCACCCGAGACAGCTCGCCGGCTCTGTGCGCAACGTGTACGCTTTTGCGGTCCGGGAAAACAGCGTGGTGAGGGATAAATGCTCGCGAAACGCCGAACGGTGGCGCCGGTGGACGTTCGCGGAAAGGCCAATTATCGCTAACTGCCGCCGGGAATCGAGCGGTCGGCCGGCCGCGGTTCGCGACATTAAAAATGAACACTTAAATTCGCCAAATCGTCGGCTACTCAAACTTTAAACTCGATCAATCCCGAGGGCTGTCTCGCGAGTGAACTCGAGGCGGCAAGCAAGAACGCGGTCGGGTGGCGCTCGATTAACCGGTAACCAAAGGATCTTACGNCCCCCCCGCCTTTCCCCTTCTCGTCGGACAACCACGGGCGATTTTGCCCTCCGAAGCTTTTTCTTCCACGAGTAGCGGAAACTCGCGACGAAACTCGCCCGGACTTCTCTCTCTCTCTCTCTCTCTCTCTTCCCGCGCGCAAACGGGAAAACTTGGTCGGTACAGCCGATAAAGTACCGCGAGCCGTATATGGATAAGCTTGCTCGTGATGGTAGCGGTGGTTGTGGTTGGAACGGGACTTACCGATGTCCCTTGCGACGAATCTGCCACTCTCGAGCGCCGAGGCGAGTTTCACGATACTCTGAAGCTTCTTACTGCAAATCGGACTCCACACCCCGAGATGATACGCCTTGTAGCTCCGCTCCGGACATATCTCTCGCACCTCCAGGGGCTGTGGAAATATCGTCGCCGATTGGAAACTAGAACTATCGCTGTCGCGGTACCGCGCTGCTCTCTAATCGCTATTCGAATAATCCTGTCATTTCGATTTTTCACTCATCATTATTATTCATGCGGATCTTGCGAATGTAATTTGCCTTTGCATTATTTCTCCAAAGTGAATATTTGTTTTCCTGTTTATTTAATAATAAATAATAATAACAGAACATGACAACTGACATAGGTGTGGTAGAGAAGTGTTGTCAGTTTGCGTGCATCCATGTACATAAATCTTAATTCTACACCCTCAGCGGGGCTTTGGAACCTGGAAACAAAATGGTACCTCGGTTTTGATGTTTTCCTTCTAATTTGACGTTCGCCTGCACCCTCGAGCACTTCCGGGCGTTGCGAATATCCCGCGGATATCGTAGTATTATCATTGGACGAGTTAGGAGATCTCAAAATGCTTATGCATATTTGAGGCTTCCTCTGCAGAGAATGGGAAATCCTCTAAGGAGAATTGAGAAGGAAACCGACGTTTCTGATTCTTCCCTCCGCAGCAGAGGTGTAGCACTATGCGTGATTAAGTATCGCTCGTTATTCGAACGGCGAAGTTCGGAACGAAGAGTTCATCGAAACACATCTGCGATAATCTTCTCGCACGATAAGTACTTCGTCAATAATATCCGCAGCATCTCTCGATTTTCTACGTACGCGTACGCGAAACCAAGCGTGATAGATTTTCCATGAAGCGGCTGGCTGGCTCGCTGGCTAACTGACTGGCTCTCCTGCGCGTGCGTGCTTTAAAAATCCCCGATACCTCGCGATATATAACGGTTTCACCCTCCGAACGCGTTTCAAATATGCGCTCAAGTTCGCGTTGAAATTATTCGATCGCATTTCGCGCGAGAGCGGCGCTAAAATTTAAGGGAACATTCCCCGCATTTTTCCACGTGGCAAAACCCGGGTCGCGTCGCACCGGGGGCTAGACTCCTTTTAAGCGACGCACTCGATATTTTTTTTTCCCACCGAAAAAAAGACTCCTTGACTGGACACGTGCTCTCACGGCCGTTCGCCGGCGACCTGGCGTGCGGCCGCGCGAAGAATCGGGAAAATCGGGAAAGTTGAAAACTACTGCAAAACCGCGAACAAAGAGACAAAGGAAGGAGGAGTTGGAGAGGGGGAGAGAGAGAGAAGAACGACACGACATTCGCAACGGCGGCGGCGTTCCGATTACGCGGTGCAGAAATTCCGATGGCGTCTCTCCTGGTATTTGGAAAACGATGCCTCGTATTTGCGTCTGTCGGGAGGAACGAGCAACGCATGAGGAAAAGGGGGACGGTGGAAGAAGATGGTAGAAGGTGGTCGAAGGTGACCGGGGGGAAGGAGGAGGTCTCGGTATCAGGAAAGAAGCATATACGGTGCCGACGCTCCGGTGTCGCGGCGAACCGGATGGTCGGAGGGTAGGCGAAACGACGGGACGCGCGCGGCAGAGAAAGCCCGAGTATTTCCCTAATTAGGTCGCCTCGCCGGCCGCCAGGATTGAGGAACGCCAAGCATTTGCTACTCTTGATAGGGCAGAGCACTTGGTTCGCCACCCCCCTCCCCTCCGCCGGACTGTGCGTCCTCCTGACCCTCTCACGGCCGCCCCCTCCCGCTGCCGCCCCCACAAACAAGTCCCGTCCTTCGCGACCGACTATTCCTCCGACGTCCGCTGGCGTGAGATTGGTGGCGGTCCGAACTTAGAATTTTGGTCCTTGAACTTAAGGGGACAAGAATGCCCGTTATGTAACGCTACCGAGTTATACGAGTTATACGAGAGACACAGAGAACGCCTTGCGCCGCATTGTGCTAGGTTCACAGCCGGTCGACTGTCCTCGGCGCAAGAAACTGTCGGCGCGCTTGGTGAAAGGTGTTGTAAGGTGAAACGAGTTCGATAAGAATTCGATAAGAAACTTGCATCATGTATATATTGAAAGGTTTTCTAACTGTCCGTGCGATTAGAAAACGATCGGGGGAGACCATTCGAGAGCTGAGATATTTACAACTGAAGTTGACACTTTGTACTTGCGCTCCCTGAGAGATTAGCGTATTATTTGTAATTGTTATCTCTTATATCTTCTAAACTAAAGATATAAGATTTCGATGAGAGATTACAGTAAAAGTTCCTTATTCGCGGGGGATACGTTCCATAAATTTGCCGCGAATACAGAAACCGTGGATATGGAATGGTAATTTGTATAGGATTATAGGGGATACGTTCCATGGTTCCAAAATATAAAAAAAATATCAGAATAAAATAAATTTAATAAGTGATTTTTAACAATATCTATTACTAATTATTGTCAGGCTTAGGCAAGGGTTTAAAGAACTTAGTAATTTTTTCTTGTTTCGCCGCTTTTAAAAGGTTTTTCAATTCAGATTGATATTCAGCTGTGGCATTCATAATTTGTCTTTTAAAAATGAGACTTCTTTCCATAGACGGATCAATTTTCATAAAAAAATCACAAAGCTCATTTGCCATCCGTAAGCCTTCACTCAGATTTTTCAAGTTAAAGACCACCTTTTCAGAACTCGTTGAAGCCTCTTCTTCAATGGGATGCGGAGTTTACATTTCCTCTAAGTCGGTTTCTGTCAAATCTTCATCTTGCGATTCAAGCAACTCTTGAATGTCATTTGATTCTATCTGTTCAAAGCTATCTCGTCCTATTCCATTCGCAACTTCGGCAATGTTTGCAGTTAAAGTTTGAATTTGCACGGATTCTTCATCATTTTCGACAATCAGAACAGGCCACAGTTTTTTCCAGCATGATTTCAATGTCTCTGGCTTCAGTTCTCCCAACGATTCTTTTATGTTAACAATGCATTTCGCTATGTCAAATTTTTTCCAGCATTGCATAACGTTCATATCAGGATCAACTTCCATGGCGTCCAGTATGATTTTGAAGGTTCGCTTAATGTAATAAAGCTTAAAGGCCTGGATTATTCCTTGATCCATGGGTTGAAGTAAAGCCGTCGTATTAGGTGGCAAAAATATCACCTTTACATTTGGATACCGATTATATACCTATTGGATCCGCGAATAAAGAAATTTTTAGCCGCGAATACAGGAACTGTGTCGCAATTTTTTTAACCCGCGAATAGTGAAAACGCGAATAAGGAAACCGTGAATAAGGAGCTTTCACTGTACTATGATATTAAAGATTAATATACAGACATTGCGTAAATATTTCAGAGTTACTGACTATTTTTCAAATTACTTCTCTTCAATGAGAAAAAAAAGATATTGCATGTAATTCTAATCAATACTTTCCTAAATTTAGAACCATTTTATGCTTACATTTAGTAATTCATTTACAAATTAAGGTATCACTGCGTTCAAATAAGTATTTACAAGCTATTAAAGTATACTTAAATTGATAGAAAAATATTACTTGATTTAAAAGGCTGAAGAAGAACAGGTTTGTTTAATTCTAGCACTTTTTTCTCCATGTACCATATTTACTTCAACATCCCATCAAAATAATATTTATTATTTAAGTAATCAAATAAATGTGTGGAACGTGATTTTGCTTGATGAATACTAAATTTATAATCGACCCTTCTGACGCGCTATCGAGAACACGAAACTGAGCTTTACAATCTCTTCAAGAGGCGTCGCGCGCGTGACGTCACAGCCCCGCAGCAAGTAAAACGAGGCGCGATGCCAATAGGAGGGAATTCCGCGCGGAAAGAGCGGCAAATCGTGGCTGCGCGGGCGTGAAATTAAATATTGGTCGTATCGCGACCACCCGGTCGGTGGTTTCCTTCGTACGAACGTACCGTCGTTCGGCCGATTCAGCGACTCGATATCAATAATGCGAAATGTCATTTCCGCGCTGTTGGCGTGCTCGACAACAATAACGCTCGCGCGAGGCTTCCACGTTTGAATACCGCTGCGAACGCGCCCTCGGTTTCCCGCCCAAAACTTGAACAGTGGCGTAATATCAAATTACTAATAAATCAAATTGGTCCAATTTTAGGAAACGTATGGCGCGCGCCTACGATCGGTTGCATATTTTCCGACAGCGCGATACCGTAACAATAACGCATCGCGGGCGAGTGCGTATAATAACGTAGCTCGGATTCCGCGCAATTAAGAACTTTTCGTAGAAATTTAAAACCGCGCGCGCGCAACGATAAATAACATTTTTGTACGTGGGGGAAAAAAGGGAAAAAACAATTACGCCCGAATCGTTAGACGTGTAATCATATAGCGGAGGAAAAATGTTGCCGTATCAACAGCATTGCTGTCCAACAGCGCGAGAATTGGAGCAAATTATCGTGATTCAGTGGCGATATTATTGAAACTAATACATCATGCATTGTTTTAATGACTCGAATATATAAGTCGCTGTTGGCATCAGTTCCATATAAATATTGACGCAGCAGCACTTTTCCCGTGCATTACGCGTGTATCATCACTGAATAACGTGTAATAAAAAATTCTTTTTCCTTCCTTACAGCATTCGGCTTCTTCGTAATCTTAAATCCGAGACACTTCCCTAGCTAGTCTCTCCTCCTCTCATTGTATAAAATAAATAAATAAATATAATTATACGTTATTTATGTATTTTATGAAAATGAAACGCAAAAATTTGGCACTCCGTTATGACAGAAAACAAAATTCTATTCTTGAGAGAGGAAAAGGGAGTCAGTCAGTCAAATGTTAATATTTCTTAAAAATTAAAGAGTCGCTAAAAAATTATGTACGATAAATCTACGATTTATGCGATTTTATATCCAGATAATTTATATTTTTACAATTCTGTACTCAAGAGATTTTTCTCTTGGCACAAAAGCTAAAATTGTTTTAGAGGGGGTTAGGTGGCAGGATGAAATTTCTTTAAAGTGAAGAAAACCGTTAAAACAATTATGTTCGGCAAATCTACGATATATGCGTAGGTAATATCTTCTTTAAGTAATATCGATATTTGCACGGCAAATAATATATTTTTTTCTCAGTTTATAATAATTATATACGTTATTTATGTACATATACAACGTATACGCGCACACATACACACACATTCTCTCTCTTCTCTCTTTCTCCCTCTCTCTGAAAATGAAACGCAATTACTGTTCATTTTGTATTACGTGGGGAGAGGCGAGTTAACTAGGTAGACATAAATTCGAGAGAAAGAAAGAGAGGGAGGAAGCAATCGCTTCTCCCGTCTAGCGTGTAATTCAAACATTGACCACAAGCAAGGTTCCTTGTTCTTTACCAACTATCCTCATTTTATCGGCTTAAAGTAACCGCCCCGTCGTCTTTGATCTTCGACAAGAAGAGCTGAGTGTCGTTCCAGATACCCGCTTTTATTCCGGCAGCCATGCCTCTGTTCTCTGATGAACGCTGTGTTAACGTTCACGCGTCATTGGAAATTACGGCCCGACAAAGGAGTAATTTGTTTCCGAGCTTTCACGAATTTATACCGATTGTGCGCCACGAGCCGCTGTTTCTTTAAGCCATTGTGCTCTCCGCTTTATCCACCACGCGAATGAAGTATTCTTACGTCACGTGAATTGCTTCCGCTGCCATTATCCCGGGAATAGTAACTTTATCTTGGAATAACAGCGTAGTTTCGAGAGCACACACGGAGTTCATCGTGCAATATTAATTAAAATATATTCTCGCTACAGTGATCGTTACGGGGAAATTTTCCAATTTAAGTTACCGCTGCCAAAACACGAGACAACTCCCCTCCGAGAAGACGCGATGCAGAAATGTGTAAAGTGCGCGGTATTTTCAAAAAAACGGGGGGTGAGGGGATAGTTCGTGATTGTTACATTCGCCCAATGAGCATCGTCACCGACGAGGCAAGAGTAAAGACCGTCAGTCTCGCGAGATTTAGCGAGACTGCGAAAAATTGGACTGTTTATATATAAACTTCCTATCGATAAACTTTGCGTCAAACCAGCGTAGATGATACTTGTAAAAAAAATACGGTCTCGCAAAAATATCTTATACACTTTATTATACAGGGTGCCCGATAATTACTTCACTATCCGTGGTGTGCAAGTAGAACGGATTAAAACTGTACTATTTCGCGAAAATCACAGTAATGAATGACGAATCAATTAATCTGCATGAGTCGATGATAACGTACGGGATAACAGCAGGCCGGATTCTACAAAAGAAAATACTTCCGAAGGTGTCCCAGCAACGACGGGTATCAACTAATAACGAGAGACTTATTTTTCTTCTTCGTGGCAATCCTGCGCCACATATCGTTCGCTATGTTACCCGGAAAATCCTGCAATTTACCACCGATAACAACGCTATTACTTTGGAGAAGAACAGTGCGCTCTACCCGTCGAGCAAGGTTTCGGAACGCAGCCTCGGTGGTCGCGAGAATTCACTGGAAACCGACGGTCCTGAACAGCACCTCGTCGGCGGTATCGACGGCCGTCGTCGCGTAGAAGCGAAGGCCGCTGGGCGCGAATCGATTTCCCCGCGGTGGGAGCCGGATACGAACTTGGAAGTTCGCATAATAACGCGGATACTATCGTCCGACCGTAATTAACCGCGGCGGCGCTGAGGTTAATGAACAATGGAGCTTGCAATCGAGTTGCGCAACCTGACCCGATATCCTGATCTACACACGCCCGGCCGGCGTAAGACACGCGCACACTTATCCATCAAGCGCAGTCCGCCGGCTGCCGTTGGCAGGTGTTGCTCGACGGCCATTGTTGACCGCGCGCACTCCGTCGTCGGCCCCGCGATCGTTCATTCAAGATGTCGCGAGAACGAATATTCGGAATATCGGCGCGATTCTCGCGGTCAACCGAGCGCGACGTGTCGAAACCGCGAGCTCTCGGCTAAATTTCCAGCAGATACACCGCAAATCGCAGGTGACTGCCTTCACGTCGGACAATACTTGACGAATTAATGCCGATATAACTAATATCGGAGCGATGAGAATTGTGCTACTAGGATGACCTTCTCTCCCTCACTCATCTTCCTTCTCCCACTCCCTCATCCGCTTATTTCGGACGTAAAAATAATACAATTTGTAGAAAGAAAACATCCAATATGTGAAATCCAGCGTCGCTTCTCTGTTCATATCGAGATAACTGGAATAAAAAGGAGCGTCGGCGTTCGGCGACGCGTTGATGTGACTTTCCGTCGGTGTGTGCGTTCGATCACAGCCGGCGCAGATGTTATAGCCCGAACAGATCGTAACGCGATGCGCAGATTACGAGGCGCGGGTACGGCCGATCCCCGCAGTATACGCGCTTTTGCAAATTACCCACGTGTCCCGGCAGTGGCTTCTCGTAATCGTTAAATAATGAATATCCGGGCGAAGGTCTCGGAGAGTAATTAGGCGGCCGAGCGGGTGAGCTTTCGCGAACGAAGTCTCGTCGGGATGCTCGGGCAACGAGATGCGAGAGGGTGGAATTAATTCGCGTTTCCGGATATATAAAATATCGCGGATTTGCCGTAGAATAGCGTGGGAGAGAGCGAGGGCGCATCGACGCTACCGTCACGTCATTAGTTATGGATTAAGATCGCGGCAGCAATTTAGTTTCGAGACTAAGGTAGACTAGGATTTACTACGAGGGTTAGGCGAGCAACTCGAGGGGGAGCCAATCAGACCGCAGCGCACCAAACTCTCGGCCGAAACACCGAGCTGAATTCCTTCCAAATACAACTACGGACTTCCCATTCTGCCGCTCGACATAGGTGCGCACAAAGCTGTGTTCTGTATCTGTTTGATTGGTTTAAACGGCTCTCGTGTAACCACAACTGTACCAACTATCTGCGAAATGCCTTAACCGGATATATTGCCACGATCGAGTAGCACTCGCGCGCGCTCATCGATTCCCCGACCATCTTTTCCAGATCTCTTTCCCGAATTTGACCCTCGATTGCCACGGAAAATTAGCACGTCCGACCGCTAACCGACGCCGCAATACCACCGCGTCTTATCGAGTTACGTCTTATCAAGTATCGATAATCGCTTCCGCAACATTCTGCTCGCACGGCCAATAAAGAGAGCCGGTGAAACGAGACGAGAGTGTAGCTTGCCAAAAATTCATACAAAATTAATACGTTAGTCGATACTGAGGAAAAGTGTGTTATTTTGACACTTGCGCATGCTGAATATCGACTCGATATAAAATATTGAGATAACGTAAACACAATATGTTAAATTAACACACGATAATTTACAAATTTATGTTAAATAATACATGTTAAAAATTCAGCAATTTGAATAAAAACCGGTCTTAACACAAGTACAAAATGTTTTCACTGTATGCGTATCTTGAATTACTTTTTGAATCTTTAGTCAAATTTGACGACAACCCAAGTCGAAATTTTAGCCTTATGTTAAATGTTGAATTCTATAACGCAGTAGGAGCTAGCGAAATAAGTTCCATTCTAACGATACACATAGTAAACAATTTTGTGGTAGAAATGGTATACTGACATTTTTGTGTTTACATTAGCTTTAACATGGGAAATATGTGAAAAGGTGCAGAAATATCTGAAAGCGCGCGGCGTGTGCGATCCACTCGTCATAATATTATTTCAACGCGTCGGTGTTATGACGAATAATTCGCTTTACATATTCGACTTACCACGTAGAGGGCCTCCAAGCAGCCGAGGAGCGTGACCATCTCGACGTTCTCGAAACGTTCATCGGGCAGTAGCACCAGCAGCGGCCGCCTCACTCCAGCTTGCAATGCCCTGATGAGCGCGAAAGATCATGAAATCAGCCGCAAATGTGACGGGAAACGCCGGCATATCGCGGTAATATCCGATCCTCCGTAGGAAACGGGATCTCCAGCGGATCGTGTTCCAGCTCAACTGGAAGCGACACGTGTCCGCGTTCGTGCATGCGTGCGTGTGCGCGCGCGGATGATGCGAACGAAACGACGTGCGACGCGTGCGAGGCAATATTTTCTCCCATTTGTCGGAAGATTTCGTCAGTCTTATCGTTCGTTAAAGGGAGAGAGACGTTAACGGAGAGGATCAAGTGGTCGGCTCTCCTGCTGACAGACTGATAGACGAACGGAGGGATGCCAATCTAAGAATCCGGCAAAGGATCAAGGCGGGCCCTAGAGACGGGATTTGGACGTGGGAAAGGCGTTTACCGGCGCGCGTACAGCCCGCTCGAGGGCCAGCTCGGCGGGAATTCGACCGTAATTATGGCGCGAACGTATCGCTGATGACGTCGATGGTCAGCGATCGTCGGCGAATATCGCGAGGAGCGCAATAATATCGGTAGCGTGAAAGCCGCCGGCGATGTTACATATCCTGGCAGGATAGATGTCTATGTAAAAAGAGATAGATAGATAGATAGATGGATAGATAGATGGATAGATAGATGAATAGATAGATGGATGTAGTGCTCGATATGAGAGGATTCCCCTCATGCGTGAGGAGAGAAGACATTAATGGAAAATGAGTATTCTATCATGTAGTAATGTAAAAACTGTGTCACTATTATGCATGAAGAAAAGTAACTTGCTGGCGTAGTAAATTTTATACCACCGCAAAATTCCTCCGTTCCACATGAGTCCCTCAAATCCGGCGAATTCTCAAAACTAACCGGAACACCTAATGTATTTAAATTAATAAAAATATCGCTTGATTTAAGAGGGTGAAAAACAAGTAATTATGTTCACGTAATTTCAGCATTTTTCCTATCTAGAAATGTATTATATAATAATGTAAGAACTGTATTATTTTTATTATTATTTATCACGCAGTCTATATTACATGATAATAATATTATATCATATAGTGTTTACATTACTATATTTATCATAGAGATGTGCATTGATGGGGATACTTTTTCAGACAACAGAGTTTCACATAACACGGCCGTAAATTGATCAAGACCTCCCATATTACGTAGCGCAACTGGTAAGCCATTCCATAAATGTATAGAAAGGAGCGCTTCTATATTTCAGTTCGACAAATACGAGATAAGATGAAGAGGAGAATGAAGAAGAAAAAGAGAAAGAGAAAGAGAGAAGAGAAGCAGACGCTCGAGGGGAGAAAGCTGCGACTCTCATCGAGTATCCCGAGACACGAAATGCGCCATTCTCGCGAACCCTTCGCGCTGTCCAATTTTCGTCCTATCTCGCGGAACACAGACGTAATCGCGCAGCCATTTCTCCTCTCGTTCTCGCGAAAATCACGAACCATCGGCTCGACCATCTTCGAAGCAGTCTTTCCTTCTGTCGCGCTTCAACGTTGCGTTCTTCTCGTTGCGTACGCGTGTGCGCACGATGCCTCGCGTTTGCGGATTCCGCGGACTCTCGCACTTTGTACACGCTCGGATCTCTGCGGTTCTCGAATCCCGCCCGGTCCCAGCTTTAGTCGGATTTTACCGCGGACCGCCCGATTTGAGTTTCGTATTAACTTCGCGTAGAATCGCCTATATCCCGTTATTATTCCACTATTCTGCGAGGATTATGCCGGGAAATGCCGCGTTATTGCGCGATTGTGTAACGAAGGGACCGTCGGCAATTTCGCTGGCGGTGAATTCGGAGCTGACGAACTAAGGCGCGAACCGATGAGATTCGCGAGAATGCGTACAAGGGAGAAACAAGGGAAACGTTCTCTCGAGAAACGTCGACTCATGCCTCTTCGCTCGCTCTTTTGCCTCGAAATTTCTCGTGCAGCGGAATCTTACTCAAAACAAGTGGAAATTGGCAATATTTTCACTCAAAACGATAGTGAAGACACATTTCCGAGGAGAAATGTATCCAATCAGCCTGAACCAAAAGCTTATATAGCTAGCTAGCATAGGTTAAATTTTTCAGCTCGTTATTAGTTCGTTTCACTGGCTGATTATTCATTAAAATCTAGAATTTGTTTTGTGACCTAACCTAACCTTGCTATGACATACAAATACATGTTACATGACATGTTACATGTAGAAACTTAAGGAGCGTATTTCCGATATTGAGGTAGAAAATGTTCTGTAAATATGGGTCCAATTTGAAACAGTTATCTATCTGCAAATATTTAAAAGAAGTATATAAATGATAACACAATTTTTTGAGACATTTTTTTGCTAAAAATGGAAAATAAAAAAGAAAACTTAAAAATTACACAAATTGTTCAAATGGACATACATCGGCATTAATACGTAGTACGATGTGATCTAAAATGGATCGAGTAGTTGAGCGAAGGATATTATGATTGTTCCTTATTTGTTCACACGCGTTATTTTTCATACGCTACATTAATTCAGCTCGAGAATTAACTGACTCGTAAACTAAACCTTTAATCTCTACGTTTTCTTCCTTATTTTCCATTTTTAATGTAAATAAATTCCAAAAACGAATTCCAAAAAATTGCGCTATCACTTATAAACTTTAAATACTTGTGAATAGATAATCGTTTCGAATTGGACACATGTTTATGAGATCTTTTTTACCGGACACCCACGGCGTTCAAGTCCTACTAGGATACTGTCTCGAAATCGCAATAGTATAAATATTTCCTTCAAACTTAGAGTGGATTCTAACTCTATATGAGCGAAAGTTTCAATCGAATAGAATGAATTTGTTCCCTTGTGACGGTGGAATCATCAGATCCACTCTTCAGTTTCGAGTGAAAATATTTACTCGACGATTCAGAACGGAGAATTCATTCTATAGGCGACTTTCACCAACTCCGGTTAAAGTTAACCGGACGATTAACTCAACGAAATTGACCAATCGCATTGAGCAGCTTAGCTAATTGGCCAATCGCCAATACCGTTGAATTAATCAGTACCGAACCGGAACTGGTGAAAATCGCCGTAAACGAGTGAAAAATCGCGCGAATCCGTGCGACTCGGTTATCACTTGATTTTACGAGTGAAATTTTACTCCGAGAAATTTCGAGAATGTCATATACCCACTTTCGATCCCGTTTTATCGCGCTCGCACGTGTACTTTGCGCGCGTATTTATTTATTAATCGTCGCATATATTCCCGACGCGAGACGGGGCGGCGCGACGCTTATCTCGTTTATCGGCCGGCGCTGACGCCGTGCCGAACACCCGTCGCGCCGATTCTGAGCCCCCGCGAGACGTTTTTCATCATCAGGAGGCGAGGCACTTTCAGCATTGCAACGCGTTATTACGTGCGATCTCCTCCTTTTTCCCCCTTTCTTTTCTCTCTCGTTCTGAATCGAGCGTTTCGCGCAGCGGTTCTCCCTTAACGTCACATACCGTCTCCGCGTGAAAACACAAAAAAAATATATATATCGAAAGATGTGTCTAAAAAAAAAAGGAGACGAAATAATAAAATAACGAGGAAACAGTCGCGCTGAAAGGAACGGGAAAATTGAAAAATTTTCCGTCGAGCCTTCGCGTGCGATTCGAACGGAATCCCGCACGCGCGTCATCGCGCGCGTTTTCTCTGTGCGACCATTCGAGTATAGATAGAACGCATACCCGGCAATCACGTTTGCAGACTCGTTTCGTTCGTTGTGCGCCGTACAGGCTCTCCAGCACGATAACGTCGCGCGATAACGCGCAGGCCGACACTGGGGCGCGTCGACATGCGGGTGTTGGAAGACACGAGATTCGAGATTGTGACGTCCGCGCGATCGAGGGGCCTTTGATTAATTACATCGGCACACCCGTTAGGAATTCGAGAAAGAGAGAGACAGAAAGAGAGAGAGAGAGAGAGTGCGGAGGGGGTAGGGAAGAGG